GGTTGCTGTGAGCTGTGGCACCACAGCACTCTACCCAGGGTGACAGCTTGAGACTCTGTCTCAAAAAAAGAAAAGAAAACAGTTTCACTACACAAAGACAATATCTAGAAGAACTAAAAAAAAAAAAATTTCCACTCATTTCTGTACCAAACCTGCTAATGACCACATGGAAATAAACTGAGCTGGAGTCTGCCCAAAGCAGAGCCTGTTACTAGGACAATGGGACAGGAGTTTTGGGGAGGTGAGGCCAGAAAACAGGAATAAGAGAGTGAAGCAGGACACCCAGGAGCAGGAAAAGCCAATACAGGGTGCATAGCTGAGGTCCCTCCCTGGCCCTCCACGGGTTTAATCCCATGGGACCCTATAGAGCCAAAGAATGAACCTTAGACAGAGGCAGAAGGCTTCACCCACAGCACTCACCTCCTTGACAGAGGTCACTCCAACATCTCCTATACTACACACACTGAGGCTAGGGAAGGCCCTAAGGTGAATGCAAAGAGTGGTGTGACATGCAGGTAGAAAGGGCCAGGGACAGGTAGGAGGTGAGGTGCAAGAGGTACACAGGAAGCTGTACATGGTGGGCGCAACCAAAACCAGAGGTAGCCAGGGGAACATAACTTGGTACCACAGGTGTCTGTTCTCATAGCCAGACTCTGGGTGGAAACAGGTACGGAGAGCACACAGTAGGCAATGCATCTCTGCACCACGGTACGGCCCAGTTCCCAGGGCCTACTACCCAAGAGGAGGAGCAGATGCCAACCAGGAGCTGCTTCTCATGGCAACCATTATCCATTTCAGAGAAAGCAACAAAGTACAAGGATGGCTAAGACCACCTCTCACTCTCTTACCGTCACATTGATTGTCTCGTACAGGCCCTGGGCTCTGGCTGTGCCCCCAAGAATAGCCTGAGCTATAGAAATAAAGAGGTCAGAGTGGATGTCTGCACCGTCCCTCCGGAACACAGGGCTTTTCTGCACCTAAGGCCAAACAAGAGAGATGAATGTGACCCATCCTAGAAGTCCTGCTTGAAACTAAACATCATTTACAAGACTTGCCAGACCTGAGCGCAGGGCCTGATAAATTTCACATCCCTTCTATGCTCATAGCATAGTACTGAGTGAAAGAACTGTATTTCTACCAGAGCAAAAGAGCTCCCCAAGGCTCTGACAGTGCTGTGTTCTGTACATTTGTGTACTGCAATGGAAGAGGGACTGAATTTGTTAGTCTGAGATCAAACTGTTCAATTGTGAAGGGAAATAAAAATGTAAAATTGGCTTTTTGAATTTTTTTTTTTTTTTGTAGAGACAAAAGTCTCGGCTTTTCTCCATGAGGTCACCTTTTCTGTTACTTTACAGA